TGTATCAACTTCATCATTATTTTATCTGTGTCCAGCAATGGCTTCCTATCTGAAACATTTTCCTTATTTCCCAGCCAAGAGATGGGGTTTATCTCTAACAGATGCTACAGTCCGTGATTTCACACAGGAAAGCAGCACCTCTCAATCTCCAACCCACACCAGTGCCCACCAGACAGAGGGTCAGAACCCAGACAGCTGCACAGGAGAGCCCGCCTGTGCGGGGGGTGACCGCAGTTTTCTTGATTAAGCAGAAACAACTGAGAGAAAAAAAAAAAAAAGATGAGTTGCATTGTAAATATTGCTGCGCAAACAAAGCGAATTGATGAAGCTGCAGTTTTGTCTCATGTCGCCGCTAAAGCACACACAGTGCACCCAGAGCTGAAGTCCTGTTGGTTTTTCAGCTGTGATAATGTCCTTAGGCTGTCTAGTGTCCCTAACTGGTACCCGCTGTGCTGCTGGTGGCTGGTATGAGTTACAGTGCAGAGGTAAGGTGAGCCGAAATAAAAACACCTGTAAGTGACACTGACACCTGAACTGCTGATTAAACTGAATCTCATAAAGATTATAGCAGGTTAAATGGGGACATTCAACAAATACCCAAAAGAGAAGTGGACACCACAAAAACATAAATAATAGCCTTAGCAAGAACTACAAAATTAAAATACTGCATTTCATCGGCTGGTTTTCACGCAATACTACGCTCCTAAGCTTCCTGATCATCAGGTTTACTCTCTGGTTTTTGGCTGTAGGCACACTTAATGAGGCACTTTACGAACATACTGAATTTTAAAAAGGACTTGGCAAATAAATGGCATTTATGTTTTATCATGTTCTAATTAAATAATGAGGAAAATTGAATTTATCCTTTATATACTGATTAATGCAGAGTGCTGTGCTGATTAATGAAGAGTGTTTTATGAAGACAGAAAATAATTTCAACATAATTCAGAAATTTGAAGAATTGTAGGCCTGGAAAGAATCACAAAACTCATCACATCAATTCTCATGACCAAAGAAAAGATGAAATTTTACCTCCACAGCACCATTTTTGAGTCACAGCTTGTTTGCGATCCAGTATAATCCAGCCGTTACCTCGATTGCCATTTGTTAGCCTGTGTTTCATTTGGGTAATTACTCACATGGAAGTGTGAGCAGGTTTTTGAAAAGTAGAAATTTGCCTGAAGTTCAATAAGGCCAAGGGCAAAGATGGCTCCCTGAATTTAAATTTTCTTCCCAAAAAGTTAGTGACTCGTTACCATACATCAATGTAACAATTAAAATCTGTTTCTGCCATCTGCTTGTCTGTAATAAAAGTGTGGAGCAGCATCAGAAGCAGAATTTGCCGGGAATGCATTCAGAACATCTTCTGCCTTTGAAAGGGAATCCCTGTGAAATTTCAAGGGTAGCTATACAGGTTACTCATATCTCTTGTATTTATTTCACTTAAAACATGCCATCTGAGCTTGATTTTGAAAATGTCATGTGAAATAGTGTCAGAAGTCACCCAAAAGTCAAGATGACTTCTGACAACTCATGTTTTTCTCCCAGTAAGCTTTGTTATCTTGTCAAAAACCCAAAAATTGTTATGACATGATTTGTTCTCAACAGCCGTGCTGGCTGCTATTTATCTCCTTGTTATCATCTGGACGCTTAATGCTTTTTGATTATTCCTTCACATTTTCAGTTTATATTGTCTGTTTCAAAATTTAGTGTTTCTTTTTAAACATGGTACCATATTTTCACTATCCTTCACAAATCCTTACCGGAGAACTCAGGAATCATTTCACTTGACTCTCTACATAAGCTGAAATTCAGAGTTCAGCTACTTTGGAATACTTTAAATATAGATTTATCTCTGCTCTCTCTAGGCTAATCCAACTTCTTAAGGCATTATTAGCAATGCTAACAATGTTAACATAACTCAGCATCCTAGTGAGCACTAACCCAAAGAGGACATTAAGCAATTTGGGTTTCTGATTCTTCAGAACAGTTCATTGTTAATTTTCCCTCCTGACTGAGTGGAAAACTAATCCCTTGGTCGTTCCAGGGCTAATGCACTTCTGGAAACTTTTATTACTCAATACGCAGATTTTGTTTGTTCAAACTTGTACACATTTTATAGAAAACAATTATTTCTCCATCTTCTACATGCTTCCTTTCTGAGTAGGTTCACGTGACCCTTGAGTTCCCTTAACGCGCTGTTCCCAACAGGTTAATCCATACCCTTGATGACAAGCTAGGACAGGCAGACACATATTCATACCAGCACACCTGCAGCTGGCTTGCCTATCTGTGTACTGCAGTCCTCAGCATCCCCTGTTATAATTCAACACAAAGGCATCAGACTCAAAGATATTTTTACTGACTTCTTTAAGATTCTTTAATTTCTGTCCTCTTTAGTTCACCGATCCCCAGTACTGTACTCTGAGGGTCAGTATTTGAGTTCTCTGCAATGACAGTAGTACACCAAGGAAAACATATAAATATTCATCTTTTAATTTATTTTTTCCCTTCCAGAATATACTATAGGTACCATTTTGAATCAGCTGTTGAAGATAAACCAGCAGTTATAATACTAATATTAACAAAGTTAATGGAGCACTTTTTTTTTTTTTGCTTCCAGTATTTTTCAGTCTCTGAAGACCTTTGTCTTTGAAATAATTAATTATGTTAGTGGTATTTTTGCTGCAGTTAAAGGTGACTCTACAAAACATACGAAAAAAGTACTGAAGGAAATAATTAGACTTTAAGTCCCTGCAGATATTTGCAGCTTAAAAATGATTTCTCTACCCACAAATATATACACAGTATGGGAAATTATTTACTGAAAGAAACTAATACTGTTCATATGCAATAGGGATGGCTGAGTACTATTTTAGTTGTTTTCTGCAAACATCAAGTGCAATGTAGTACATTCTTGAATACAGTACCTAGAGTGGATATAATGAATCTGAAAAAAGATAGCTTTGAAAAAAATAATTTTCTGGAAAATTGTTAAAGAAGCTTAAAAAGTAAATAGCAAACAAAACATGAATGTTACAGAGTATGAATTTGGCATCAATAGCTGATGCAAAACTAATGAGCATATAATCCAATTTTGCAGCTTCTTCATTTTCAGTGAAGCATTGAAGGAAAACAAATAAAAAATATAGTCATTAAACTCACTGAGACAAATTAATTTTTGTAAACTCTAAACTACAAAGGGTACACATTATAGGTGAACTTGATTTGCCCTTTTTACTTTAAATAAAAAAGAAAATGCATTTGAAATTGTAATAAAGAGTTTCAAAAGAGAGCTAGAGAGTTTACAGCGCTGTTTTGGTGTATCTTAACGTGTTTGCCATCAGTACAATCTGAGACTGCCCGGACAGAAACACATGGCACATAATGTTCACGTGCCGTGGATTTCAGATGCATGAGCTCTGCTGTTTCTCAGGTGATGCACATGCACACCTCAGCACTGACATACCGCAGGTACACCAGAAATAACGTGTCTCTGCCGGCTGTGAGTGATTTTACGGATCCAGCCCGTCTGGCATGGCCAGGACTGAAGGAGTACCTCGAACTCTGGTGCACCTGAAAGGCATCCAATACACTGCAGGGCTGAAGGCTTTTGACACACCAGCACCCAAAAGATTCCGTATCCCAAATGGGCTGTGGGATGACTGTAAATGCAACACAAAAATCTAGAAACCTTCATACTGATGGGATTTTAAGATGGGAAAAAAAGATGTGTCTGGAAAAAGCCAGACACACAACAGCCATACCAACGCTGATTTTGTTCTGTACCATCCCAGCAGCCCTGATGTACAGTAACCTGTACCTGCATTGCAGAGGGACAGAAAATTCCACTGTGTCTCAGTTCTATATTACATATAATTGATTTCTAATTATTTCTCTTGAATCTTGATTAGCTATTTAATGAGGTATGAACTTTGAAAATACATGATCTAACTTATCTCTGTTTTCTGATAATATTACTGATTCAACCTGATTAACCCATTTTTATTTCTATATTTTCTGAACTAAACGTTCAGTTGTGAACGTAATTCAATATTCTACTAAATTAATGTTAATTTCATGAAGAGATTTTATCTTTCCTAATCATTTATGAGTAATGTCTTAACAGTATCAAGACAAACAGCAAATTTAGTCAACCACCTGCCATTATTTTCTATCTGGCCATGGAAATTTAAAAACCAGGTCCCTTACATTTTAATAATATATGATATTAAACTGAGAAAACTTTTTTCTAAAAAAATCTTCAATGTGTTGAAGATTTTAACATCTTCAAGATGTGTGATGTATATGTACACCAACAAATGCATTACTATTTTACTAAAGCCAGATGAATATAAAAATAAATATTTTTTAAAGAAAATATCAAAAACGCGTTTCAATCTGCAATATAATCCACATTAAAAGGCGGTAAGGAATGATCTGTTAAGAAAAGAGTGAGATAAAGAGGAATTGTCTATATACTTCTTATGGGCATTTATAAGTGGACAATTTATTCTAGAGTGGGAGGAATACATAATGTACACTTCCATGAAAAAGCAGAGAAATGTTTATTATTTGCATTCAGATTCTAAAGGCTATATAATTTACTGATTTCACCAGCTTTTGGTTTGATAATTAGTGTAGAATTATATAGCCTTTGTTACATTGTCTTCTGATTCATTCCTATTTAGTAATGTAATCTAATGTACAATGTATGAAGAGAAAGAAATGAGACCTAAAGACAAGTAATATCCAGAATTCCATACACCGAGATGCTTTAGCTGTTAGTATCAGAGGGAAATAGGTTTGGTTTCTGCGTATTGTGAATGCTCAGGAGGTTGCATTTATCCCATGTCCATGCTGTGCATAGTAAGACCCGGATCATAAGAACTTTATAATTGTAAACATTTCTGTGATGCCGTCTGAACAAAATTATATGAAGAACGTAATCAGCGTTTATCACCCTACACTCGTTACACCGCCTCTTTTTTCCCTTGCAGGCTATCGACGACCAGCAGCTCACTGCTTGGAATGAACACCAGCGGCTCGGATGAGTATTTCCAGTCTGCAAACCATGCGGAGCAAACTTTCCGCAAAATGGAAAATTATCTGCAGCAGAAGCAGCTGTGTGATGTTCTTCTCATAGTGGGAGACCAAAAGATCCCAGCTCACAGGTATGTTTCCCAGTATCATTTACATGGCTTCAAAGCCTGAAATTTCCAAACGTGAGGTCACTTTCTGCCTGCCCTGGTTAGTTATGAGTGAATGGTTACTGTAATTAGGACACCAACTAGAAATGGAATAAAATTATGCAATCAACGTTTCATATTAATTATTTCAAATAGAATGAAATTCAAATATGAACCATTAATGTTGTCCATCTTCCCTTCTTGCTGCTGTCAAACTAGAGCAAGATCAGTGAAGAAAATCTGCCCAAACAAGCACTGGGGGGAGAAAATTAGGTTACTAATTGCCCTTTTAACTTAATTGCTCGCTGCTATAAGATTTGAATGCTATGCTAAAGTTTCTATTGCACACGCAATTTATTATATAATAATCCTGAGTTTCACGCTTGCTACTGAGATTATGAAGTAATTTGCAGTCCTCCTAAAACGCTTTTCTTTCCAGGTTGGTTCTCAGCGCAGTGTCTGATTACTTTGCTGCCATGTTTACCAATGATGTGCGGGAAGCAAAACAAGAAGAGATCAAGATGGAGGGAGTAGACCCCGATGCACTGAAAGCTCTGGTGCGCTACGCCTACACAGGTAATTCTTCCTCCATTACCTGCATCAGTGTTGTAAAGGAAGAGAAAATCTGTTCAATGCATACATAATTCCCACTTCCTTCCTTTCATACTACTACATAAAGACATGCAAAAGTCATGCATATGTGATGTAAACCTTCCTCTAGAGAGGATGAATAAATATTACTGGTTTATATAATAACTTATTCTAGAAGACATGCAGAGAAGTTAAGATATAAATTCATACAGGACATCTGTCTCTAACTAGATATAAATTATTTTAGGAATAATAATGAGAGAACATATTTTGCCTGTTGCCCACTGCATGTAGTGACACAGAAGAGTGTAGTATGAATATTCCTGTCTGGGAAGATGCAGAAGGGGTTTGCCCAGAGCAGCAGTTATTTGGCTCACTCAAGGCTCCTGTGCAGGAATAATCATAGGAAAACAGGAATATGATCACACCCATGAGAAGAACAACTTTTACCATGAGAAAGTGCCACCACATTCTGAAAATGTTCACTTATGTTCTCTTGAAAATTTTAGAGACCTTATCTTAATGAAACTAAACATTTTAACACCCGAATGCTGTATATATATTTTTTTCCTAACTTATTTTCTCCCATTTTCAACATTTACCCCTGTATTCTTGAATCCGAAGCAGTTGAACCAAATAGCCAAAAAGAACAAGACGGAGAACTGTGAGATCCCTTTCATCTGTTCTGTAGTGAACAGGGAAAAATGCTCTAGAACATGACCACTATGTTAGTGTATACTGCAGTTAGAAACATCCGGATCATTCAAACCCATGCAGGTTCTGGAAGTCTGCAGGTTCTGGCACTTGGCAATCCTCCCAATGCAGATAGTGGCTACGCCGGCCAGAAAGGGAAAAGGGAAACACTTTTTGCCCTACCAACTTTTGCAGTTCTGTGATCAAAGAATGCCCAAATCTCAAAAGGAGAAAATGACTCCCCCAGAAGTAACAACACTTAACTGACCAGAATAACAGCTTTTTGAATTTATGAACACTTGCTCGTGAACTGATCCATCCCCTCAGTGAACCGCTGTTATCAACAGCATTCACCAAATCCTTGTCATCCGATGTCCCACACAGGACATTGTTTGCTTTAGAATGAAATAACACAATGTCGATACTGAGACAGGGAGGCTGGAAGATGTATCACAGCTATCTATCGATACTTTTATAGTACTTTAAAATAAATGCGCTTAGAATACTTTTCTAAAAATCAAAGTAAAACAAACTCCTCGTTATATTCACCATATTGGCATTAGCATAAATGTTAAAAATAGGAGATTCTTCACTTGCTAGGTTGGGCACTTCACAAATCTGGACTGTTGCACAAAGAGAAACCTCGAGAAGGTGAAGCAATCTGCAACTTGGATCGGAAACATAAGTTTCTACACACCAAATAGACCCCGTTTGTGGGTACAAACAGGGGGAGAGGTAGAGGGGGTGAGAAGGAATGCTGTGTGACACATATAACACACTGATGTTGTGGCACTGAATCAGCGCACATTACCCAAGAAATAGGTGAGTACAAGTGCAAAGAAGCAAGTGGTGGGCTGCTTATTATCCACATCTATCTCAAAATCATCCCACTTGATTCAATTTAATCTCTTTCAGTTTACTTAATGCAAAACCAGATGAAAGAACACCTATTAGACTACAAAAGCAAACGGCAGACTATGAAATAGTGCAAGTTTGCTTGTGAAATCAAGACTCCCTCTTTGATTTGTGGCATTACATTCAATGTTTATTCACAAGGACATGTACCAATTTCACTCTATACGTTCAGTAACTATTCTAAGTTGTATAGTAAAAACCAAACCCAAACATTGTCCTGTTCTGCACCCTGCCAGCCCTTCCTCATGTCTTGCAGAAGTTGGAAGGTGTTATTTAAATTCCAAATCGAGGGACGTCAGGAGGAGATGGAATTGTGCTAAGACTGCTGCAGACTGCAGTGGAAAACTTGAATTTTCCTACTGCCTCTGTCACAGGTTTTCATGTGATAATAACCAAGCCTCTAAACTCAGTGCTACTTTTTTCCTAGATAATGAAATATAAATGTGACTTTCAGAGATGAGAGCTCTAGCTTTCAGAAGTGTTCACATATTCTACTGAAATAAGTCAGAAGTGAACTTTTGGGCAAGAAACCTCTTACAGTTCTAGTCTGATTATAATTCTGACTGAGATCTCTCAGTACCACCCTTCTCCATGTGCCAAGTGGAGATGGTGCATGTCATCCTTTCACAGAAGAAGCTGGAAAAGAACTTAATGTTTCTGAGGCAATTGGATGTTGTAATGATAAATGGAAAATGCAGTCATAAAACCCCCCCATAGTTCTTTTTTTTCAGAATAGGATTTTAGTGCTGGGTATCAACTAGGGAATTGATCCATCCACTAAGCAACGTAATGGAAGATCTTAAAATAACACCTTCCACTCTATCTATGACCGTAACAAAATTCTCACGTCATGTAATAATTTTATTAAAAAAGTAAATGCACAGGTAGGTGATGGAAGAAATGAGGTTTCCTGCACACACTTCTGGCATTTCCTAGCTCTTGATACTGAAGTTCTTGTGTGTAATATAAACTTATGGTATATATTTTTATGAATTAATATATGAATTTTAGGAGGGTTTTTCTCTAATCACGCTTTTCTTTTTATTTTACTTTTTTTTTTTTCCAGGCAAAATCAGATCTAATACTGTTAAAGCTACAATAAAAATGTTCCAATGGTTGTATTCAAAATTCACCAAATCCTTGAAGTATGTTAAAACATGTTTAAAGAATATTTCAGCAAGAAAGGAAAATGAATTTGTGAATGACGGGACACTTCTTTCCAAAATTTTTCAGAGGAGGAGAAAAACTGGGGAGTGGGAAGCTTGCAAGTAATACAAATACAAAGAAAATTACTGAAAACTTTTTTTTCCCCCTTATATGCAAACTGCACAGGTATTCTAGAGTTAAAGGAAGACACTATAGAAAGTTTGCTAGCTGCAGCTTGTCTTCTCCAGCTCTCCCAGGTTATTGACGTGTGCTGCAGCTTCCTCATGAAGCAGCTCCATCCTTCCAACTGCCTGGGGATCCGCTCTTTCGGAGATGCTCAGGGCTGCGCAGAGCTCCTGAAGGTGGCACACACGTACACTATGGTGAGACGAAAGATCTAACTGCTTTGCAATGATCATGTTAACACAAGTGGGAATATTCTCTTGGAAAGCACGTGGGCTTTGGTGAAGCAGAGCCAGCGGAGGGGGCTCAGGGCTGCTGCTCTCTCCAAGACTAAGGCAGTGGCTCTGCTCCTCCTGTGCTGGCAGGGTCACTCTGTAAAGTCCCTGCTGTGGGGACATCTCAGGGCAGTCTCCAAAGGGAAATTTAAGAGCGATGACTGTTACAGAAGTATTGGAAGGAGAGAAAAGCATTTCCCATTTCAGAGTTTTGCCTTGTAGAAGGGCATAGTTATTGAACTTAAATTTGCAGTGTGACTTGTACGAATTTCTTCCAAAAATGTAATAGGGCCTCAACACAGCAGATGTCAAGAGGCAAACAGCAATGGCCCATTCTTACGCTTTTGATTCAACACAAAGAAAATTCTAAAGCTGATTTTAAGGTGAGACACACATAAAAAGAGACAAAATAAAGAATGTATGGGAAAGATTTGGAATGCTAAAAAGAAGCACATCCCTGACTGGAGGATAATCCTCCGCTGGCTTAGAGCAAGAAATGAATATTCAGAGCGTGGGAAACAGAGAAGCAAGATAGCTTGCTGTGAAACCAAATCAAGGGATAAATATGCAGAAAAACAAGATGTGCTATAGCAAGTTCAAACACAAAAAGAATTGCAATGGCTACAGCTAAATAGATATAAAAAGAACTACTTGTTAGGAGATACATGGCAGCTTTATGCTTGAAATATTAGCGTAACGTGTCAAAACCAGTTTAGAGGCTTCATAATACTGAGAGCACTCCAGCAAGAGATTGTGCACTTCCACATGCTGAAGTAAATGTGAGTGGCATGTGCAGATTGAGGGCACTGGTTGTGCTCCCTCCTGTCATACTAATGAATGGTTTTTTGAACAGCAATCTAGATTCCTTTCATATTCTAAAGTTTGAAGAAGGACATTTAAGCTAGAGGTTCACTCAGCCTCTATATAAGAGTTGTCCTTGCTGCTCCACACCATTTCATACTCAGCCAAATCAGGAACTTCTCCCCTCCACTGTTGCCTCTTTCCTCCCACCAACCCTAGCACACAGGCATCAGCTTTAAGCATTTAAAATTTACAGTCCAGATTTCTGCAAAACTGAAATAAAGTCATGTAATAAGACATATGACTTTATGACGCCAGACAATAGGAGAGCCTTTTTTGGTTAGACTTTTTAAACCATTTGAATCCTGTAGTCTTCCCCTGAGTTAGACTTTTACTATTATTTAAAACTGTGTCACAGAAATGCCAGCTGGGTCTTTGAGAACACTGTCTAACGTGAGGGATTCGTGGTGAATCTGCGAGATGCAGGAGCGTTCTGCGTATATAGCCCATACACTACGTCTTCCTGAAAACAGCCAGGAGCATTCCCACCTCTAGAACTACCACCTGCATCTTGTGTGCAACACAGATTGAAAGCGCTGCCAAGAAAGAGGACCTCATATGCCATAAAACCACCTATCAAGTCTGCAGCTACTTACAGTTTACAGACAGAAGAGGAAATCTGCACCTCTTTGAAATAACCTTAAAGAAAATTTTATTTTAAACCCTTTAAGTGATTTAAAAAAAATCCTTTGAGTATAAGAGATCATAACAATACATACACACTTAGTGTTGTGGAAGAGGATAAATCAAACATTGTTTTGTTTCATGCCAACCTCAACCTCTTGAAAATACATACCTGGGATTTAAACATTTGCAGAAGGTAATCAGCTATAAACACCACATTCATTCAATAAAAACAGACACAATGGAGACCTTCCCCTTCAATTACTTTAGCCATTGATGCAAAGTATTAACAGTTTCCTGCCTGGTATCTTTTCGTGCAGATAGAGGTTGTTCTGATAAACATCTTGTGCTATATTTGTAACTAAATGTGGACTGGCCTTCCTGTTCCTATTCCCTGAATGCGTATATATATATATAAAAGCAAGACACACATAACAAAGTTATCATCGTCTTTAACCACTGATGCTGCTATATTTACATGCTTGGTACTCTTAAAAAGAGTTATAGAAAGCTAAGGAACTACTGAACACAAACAATACAAATATCAGTTACTGAAATTTCTTCCTCTGCCCTATTTCAGTTGGGTTCCCAAATAAAATATATTACTTCCAAGTACCTAAATGGAAATGAATATTTCAAATACAGACATTAATTCCTACGTGTATTTTTTTGCAAGTAACACAAAAAAACCCCTCTCTGTTAACAATTTTTTTTTCCCTTTGAATTAGCACAAGCGAGCATTAAATGAAAAATAATGTATTTTAATATCAATTCTAATATTGTTGTAATTCAACCGTATAATTTTTTTTAATGAAAAATAATTATTTGAAAGATTCTAGGGATTTAATATTCATGGTCATTTCTGGAGCTCGTGAGTTTTATTAAAGCAATAGCTTAAATACTGAGACCCCTTTGGTGGGACTTGTCCAATTTTTTATTGCCCCAAAAGTACAGTTAGAACATTGAGTTTAATTTCCCTTGCTGTATTTTCTGCTACTAAGAGTGGAGACACACAGCCAACACCTGCCACAAGGATTGGAAGATTTCAGTGCAATTTGCTTAAAACTTTTGAATCTGATTGTAACAGAAGTTACACAGCTTATTAGAATGCCCACTTGGCATTCTTAAGGTACACATTATATCTTCAATTGTTTTTCTGTTAAGCTGCAGTATTAAGATCACACTGATGGACAAAACTGCCAGTGGCAAATGCCTAAGACAGGCTGACAAACACATCTGTAAGCATGGCAGTGTGAGGAGGATTATTATTCTTCAATTCTGCAAGAGCAAGGCAACAAAAAGCAACCAAAAATCTCCCTTAAATGGTTGAAGGAGAGTCAGTGATCTTTAGAATATATATTGCATTTCCCTGTAGCGTAGAACAGATCAGGAATGAAATACATGCAAAGCCTACAATGTCTAAGAAAATGTTATTTTCAAGGTGTGGAAATCATCAGTGCATTGCAATCTTTTTTCTTTTTAGGAACACTTCACAGAAGTAATAAAAAATCAGGAATTCCTTTTACTCCCTGCTAATGAAATCGCAAAGCTCTTGTCTAGCGACGACATCAATGTTCCGGATGAAGAAGCCATATTCCAGGCGCTGATGATGTGGGTGAGGCACGATTTGCAAAACCGGCAACGAGACCTAGGAATGCTTCTGTCTTATATTAGACTGCCTCTACTTCCACCCCAGGTACGAAAGTGAAGGGCTGTCAGGGAACTTAACTACCAAGGGAAATGCTTGCCTCAAGCATCATTCAGGCAGACAAAGGAGTTCTGCGGGAAGGTTCTGGTTTTGGCTGGGTTTTTGGGTGGAGGCTTTTTGCCCCCCCCCCCCTTTTTTTAAACTATATAGTAGGTATGCTTATTTTTTTGCAAAGACAGATGAAAAAAACCCCCTCATTGCCAGCATAATTACTAGGCTCAGAATTACCTCTCTAAAAATGCCAGTCTAACGATATTACAAAAGGCCAGTGTTTCTTTGTTGGGTAGCAAAGCAGTAGTTTTCCTCTAATAACACAGCAACTTCGATACCATGCAAAGATAGTTATTTAGATTTACCAAACTGCAGGACAGATAAGGCACAATACTTATTTTTTATTGCCATTAATTGTAGACAAAAGCAAAAGATTATTTCTGAGTGTTCTGAGCACTGACATTACTTGTGTTTTAAGACTGAAAGAGACACTTAATCAAATAAGTTCCAGAAAAGGACATACTGGTTTATGATAAGCTGACACTGTTGTATCTATGTCATATCTATATCAGAATCTATATATGTCATCAGAAAAGCTTACAGGAATATCAAGACTGTTGGGATACTACAGCTATTTTATGGATCTCCATGACTGAAGTTGCAAAGGTTCAACTTTTGATAAAGTATCAAAGTTTTCCAAAGTTTTTGGAAAAAATAAAGCAAAGACATCACAGTTAAAGCCTTTTTTTCCTACCTTTATATTGTTTTGCTTGCATCAGAGTTTCCAGAAAAGCTTGAGTGAGAGGTGAACTGAAAATGAATGTTTGTAGCTACAAATACTTAAATTATTAAAGTACATACAATTTTAATGATTTAGATAGACATAACATCCTCACTTTTCATTTCTTAGTTACTAGCCGATCTAGAAAATAGCCCAATGTTTACAGATGACCTAGAGTGTCAGAAACTTCTTATGGAGGCTATGAAGTACCATCTGCTACCGGAAAGAAGGTCCATGATGCAGAGTCCTCGAACTAAGCCTAGAAAATCTACAGTGGGTGCACTTTATGCTGTAGGTGGTATGGATGCCACTAAAGGTAAGTTCAGACACTAATTTAATTGTGTTAATTAATTGTATTACAAACACCCAGAGAATATATGACAATTATGTAAAGATTTCTGGTAGGAAAACAGCAATTTAGGGATGAAAAAGAAGGAAAAAATATGGCAGAACACAATCCTATGTGTTAGATATTCTTTCTTCTTGCAAGAATCATGTTTTTAAATGATTTACATACATCTTGAAGTGCAGACTAAAGAAGTTTGATTCAGATGGTGATTTTAAAATTAAATTTTGTAAGAATTCGGGAGTATAGTTTGACTCTACAGATCAGAAGAAAAAATTAATATTAAAAATATTTCAAGATTTGTTTAATGTTGGTTTCGAACCCTGTGCTCCAGTTATTGACAAAAGTTAGAAGGCTGGAAAAATTTTTAAAGATGAGGAAAATAAAACTAAAAAAACCTCTTAGCTAAAGCTTATCAATCCTTATAAAATTTCAGATGGAAAGGTTTGCATTTTTTCATGAGTGCAACAGTGTGAGCAGCTTTTTTTTCAGGACTTCATATATAGGTTTTTTTTTTTTTCAGGTTTGTAGTTGAAAGTTAAATGTTATAAATGTATTCCAGCATTTATTAGTTGATTTTCACAACTGCAATCAGCTTACATCTTTACCCATTACAGTATTCTATGTAGTAGGTAGCATATTAAATAATTTTCTACAGGAACCTTAACTTCAAACCCTTGGAGCCAAAGAACTATAATTAAAGTTTAGCAACTTGCTGAACAGCATCACTTTCAGCTGTGTGAGTTCACTTTTAACAGAATCCCAAAGAAGCTAATCCATTTCACGGTTTGCCAAAAGTTGCCAATGACTAAGTTTTCCTATATGAGGGATCTTGCAGTGCTACCTTACTACCTCTACGCAATAAAATCGAGGGCAAAATACACATTATCACCATCACAACACGAAAACACTCATCCCTGGGACAGTTTAGCAATATGGAGTTAAACTGTAGCAATTAGTATAGTTTTATAGTGATACTGATTATTTATGAATTATATAGAACAACCAAGAATTCAAGGTAACCTTTAACCTAACTTCTACCACAATAACAGTAAAATTTTCTAATGGGTTTTTCTTCGTAAAGATTATGTAAAGAAAGAGCTATTTCAGTCAACATCTGCCCTTCCTGTTGGTGCCTCTTTTACTTATTACCTTGGGATAAAGCCAATTGTTTGAACTTTTGCCTTTTGATGGTTCAGAAGAACAGCACTTCCTCTCCTCCCTGCTGTCCTCTGCAGCTCTGACTCATATCGTGAGCCTGTGCTGGATCGTAAGATAAAGGAAACAGCACCTAAGAGACTCAGATGCACAAGGAGAACAGCTCTGAGAGGAGAGGAACTGCCACCCCTGGCAATAATCTGCTTTCTGTGATAAAGAAAACTCTCTGGGAATGCCCGGTTTGGCTTTGTGCTTATCTCAGGTGGTATATGAAGTCAAATCTCAACTTTAAATGATGAAAAGAAGATCAAAGAGCCACTTTTGGGCTGGTGTTTTGAAAAACGTGGATGTGCCTAAACCACATTGACTTTCAAAACCTACCTTCAAGCCTCTGTAAAAAATTACAGCCTACAGAGGATGTATGAACACACTGTAAAGCTTAATGTATTTTTCCTGTTTTTCAGTTAGTGTGTCAGACACTTCTTTTGAAGCTCAGAGCTTTGGGGCACTCACATATTAGCATAGAATAAATGAGAAGAAATCAAAGCAAAGAAGAGCAAACAGACTAACGAAATGGAAAGAACAGTCAAAGAAACCCAGTTGCTCAAAATAAAAGACATGAAAGGGGAAAAAGTAGAATTTCTTTCTGTTATTGCAGGTGGATCTGGTAGTTTCTTTCCCACTTTATGCATCTGGAGAAGCTAGAGGAGAGGAAAGCTATCACGAGATAAGCTCCTATTTCACTGAAGTTATTAAGTACAACAGATGGTCTCAAGCAGATTCTACCTGTGAAAACATCTCTAAACCAAATACTGCCTTTCTTTTCTGCTTTATCACATGGTTGTTTTGCCGTCGAAAATCCTTCATTAGCCACTTACTGCCTATTGTCATTCTCAAAATAGTACCTTTCTAGGATCAGGCAGGACATCAGCTCTGTTTTTCTCATCTGGTCGCCTTCAGCTGAGCTCCTGAGTGCACTTGATGTGCAACTGGCAGTTGCTTCTGTTACCTTGGTCGTTACTCAGCCATCTCCCTGCGGTGCTCAATCAGCTCTCAAAGGAGCAATTACGGCTGCTGAGTGACTGGCAGGAGCCGGTGCACAGAAAAGTGTCAGTTTTGAATGGCAGAGAGCTAGGGCCTTACGAAGAGTGGCAGGAAAAACATTACCACAAGTTCAGTGACCTGAAAAAATTGAAAATGCAGCTTAGATATTACAGCAGACAAGCCGTTACTGCCAGGCAGCTGCAAAGGTGAACTTCAAGAAAGCTACCTGTGGGAAACAAGTGTGTGCTCACACACAACTCAGCCTTCTGCCTGTCTCCATCAGAAAAAGGAAAATATCCAAACTATTCATGAACATGCACGCCCAAGTCCTGCCACGACAGGCAGACACACAGATACATCTTCAGGTTTTGACATCACTGTGGTTTAAGTACAAAAATGGTTAAAGAGTATGTAGTTGTGAGGTACCATATATATAAGGAATTTTTAAAAAAACCAAACAAAACCCAACACCATAAAAACCCTGCCCTCATGGTATTTGAATAACAGATTTAACTTGTCTCCAAAATTTTCAGTATTAAAAAAATTGCTGGCATTTAATCCTGCATCTTCTTGCCCCCAGTTTATTCTCATAAATTTGACAATCATATACTCATGCAATTAATGTGGCTTTCTCACTAGGTTTGCATTTCATAACTGAAATTCTCAGGGAGCCACAGTAAAAGTCCACACGCAGAATGCCAATGTTTTACAATTCAATAATGTTCAGGTTTGCACTGACTGCTGGGTACTGATCAGTTCACGGTTAACTCATAATCCTTACCTTTTCAACAGGTACCACCACAATTGAAAAATATGACCTTAGGACTAACAGCTGGGAACAAATTGGTACTATGAATGGCAGACGGTTACAGTTTGGAGTCGCAGTGATTGACAACAAGCTCTACATTGTGGGAGGAAGAGATGGTCTGAAAACTTCCAACATTGTTGAATGTTTCAACCCTGTCACCAAAGTCTGGACTATAATGCCTCCCATGTCAACACACAGACACGGCCTAGGTAGGAGGTGATCTTGCTTTTTAAATACCTTGGATTACATACAAATAGATTTTGATTGACACAAACACTGTTTACATAACTTTTTAAAGCATTTAATAACATGCGGCAATATTAGTAGAAGATATTTTTCAAAGATAGAGTTACCTATTGGCATAGTTTTATGACAGTGATATTTACTAGTACTCACCTAGCTTGCACCGGTCTTCCAGAGTTGATTGTGCTTTTTAGAAAATTTCCAAAATATAAGCAACAGTGAAAATAATCATCTCTTCACCCAATTTAGTGGTCAAGAGATCTGTTTGCAATACAATAACAACCTGATTGAGTTAAGCCCATAGGTCCCAAACACCTCTGAAAATCAGATCAGAGAATTACACTGAAGAAAACATTGCAGTAAGGGAATAAGTACAACGTCACTAATTTTAATGCTGTAATTACAAGTTTTAGAGAGCTCTGCCATGGCTTAGTATCTATGGGTCTTTACAGCACAATAATCCTTAATATTATTCACAATAAATGAATAATATGAATATGAAACCTAGAATTTATTTCTGGAATTATAAAAAAAATAAGTTTGCAGTCAGGAAGACTGTAAGGGAGGGAATACGATGATTTCTGAATGATCTATGTATCACAGTTCTGACGAAAAAGCTGTCTTAAGTTTACAGAAACAGGCATTGCTTGAAATTTTTGGTAAGTTCAAATGACAGAATATTTTTATTTTGATGACTAATAGAAAAAGGTTGATCCAGAATCATTCAGGAAACCACTGTGGCCTATATCACCTTCTCCAATGCTTGGTGAAGAAAGTATAGTGTAGGGTTCTTACCACCTAGTCTGTCAAATTTATAAAAGCAAATACTGGTAGGTAGCAAAGGGAAAGAAGATAAAACAGATTAAATAATTCTCACTGGAGCCTTTATAATTACCAACTGCAGGGGCATCATTCTGCCCAACAAGTAGGTCACAGCAGTAAGTTTGAGTGCCCAAAGTTAGGCTTCTATCTGTGCACCCACCTGGTTTGCAGAGCTGCCTCACACTTCCAGCTCCTATGAGCTTCAACATGATTTTGTGGGGAGTTCGCACTTTTGCAAAAATCAGGCCATGTATTTTAAGCTTGGAAAGACAGATTTAGAAAACTTTTAAGCAGCTTTCACACGTTTTGCTTTACCTAACAAAGGAAGCAAAGAGCAGTGGCAGCAGCAGCTCCCCAGAGGGGAGGCACCAAAGCCCTGCTTTCTGGAGAAGGACAATGACACGAGTTATGTCCATGCAGAGCTTTGCAGAGACAGCCAGGTTCACTCTCCTGGGCCTCAAGGACAACACACACAAGCTAGCTCTTATCCAAAAGTGTGCTCCCCTCACAGGCATTAACATGTGATGGTACTTTAGCTGGTAAGGACAGCCAGCTGCCCACCCGCTCAGGGTTCACGCTGTTGGGACTGGAGAGCTCCAGCTGGCTCAGAACGAGGATGGGTGGCTGGTTTGGCTATGTTTTTAATTGCCTGGCTCAATTTTTGCCTTTATTTGAAAGAATAGCATTGTTTCTCAATTAGGGGCTCAAATTTGATTCAGAACAAGGTCAACAGAAGTGGAAAAGATAAAAGTCCAAGAAGAGAAGATCAGAACTAAAGCGGCTTTCCTCTAATCTTTTGGCAAAAGATAACTCTTATTCAGAAAATCACTCTATGTGAAGTATTCTGTTTATCTTTGTTTATTCTGCCAAATGACAGGGAAGCTTTTAGATAGTCTAACACCAGCTGAAATTGCTTATCTGCACACAGGGAATTAAAGTACAAAGCTAATAAACCACTGGTCACTGAAATGATTCGACACTGTAATTTGTCCCTAATTCTATCTTTTAAGGAGTAGCAATGCTTGAAGGACCAATGTATGCTGTTGGTGGCCACGATGGATGGAGTTACCTTAACACCGTAGAACGGTGGGACCCCCAAGCACGGCAGTGGAATTACGTCGCTAGCATGTCAACCCCTAGAAGCACCGTAGGGGTTGCAGCGTTAAATAGCAAGTATGTCAACAGGAAAAACTCTCTTTGGTTTTTCATTTGCTTCCTTCCTTGAAAATACAGTTTCTTAAATTTTCTTTTCAATCCTGTAGTAATTCATCACCTCAAGAAAACAAAGAGAAAATGTAATGCAGAAAAACAAGAAAGAAAAGCTTTTCCCCTGTTGTGTGGTAAATTGTTTTAAACTTGCAGTCATGTTTTCAACATAGTTCAGCCTTTATATGTCATAGAAATTTGAAAATGGTACTAGGTGCATATCAGGATTTTACCTAGAGTATAACATCTGGGATGTAAGATAATCTACTTTAAAAATGTATTCCAAGCTTATGTTTACATTTTGAAATCAATGTGTCTAAGGAAGCACCATTTGGAAGAACTTGTACAGAACAAAGTCATTCCCCTGTCATTTTACACCTCCTGCATGCATCTGCAACTTTAACATACAAGCTCACAGTCAAGAATAATTTTTAAAAGTTTAAAGGTATACGGTGTGTTCAATGAAAGGAAGACAAGTTTAATAATTAGGTATGGCATAAACAGCCTTCTGTGAGTCTTATCCTACCCAGACTTATTCTGCCCTTCATCTATTGATTAAATACACTGAGATCATGTGTTCACTGTTCATTGGTCTTCCCAAAAAGGGTTTTCCAAACTTATTCAAATATCGTCCTAAGACACTAAAGCCACTCAAGCACTTTTACGGGGAAACAGACCCTTGTGAATCTAGTGTGTAACCTGTACTGAAGAGCGCGTTACATCTTGTTGTACATTCCTATTTGTCAGGGTTGTCAAGATTCAAGTCAGGGTTTTGCATTCAAAGATGACATAATTTTAAACATTAACTCCAAGTGAAGCAGAACTGCCTGTTCAAGTCCCTGTTGTATCTCAGAGGAAATGTTCTCAACATAAACTTCACCAGAAACTCCTGGTGGTACCTTCCACAGCGACATGCAGGAAACCACTTTGTCAAAGAGGAAATCCAGCCTGCTCCTGACTCTGTTCTCAATCACTACCGATACAAGCTGTCTCCAGCCTGGCTGAAATCACGTCTGTTAGTCTAGTGATGTCATTTCTGGCATACCAGAGGAAGCCGAGATCAAATGTCCATCATTCAGTGCTACTGCTGGGGTCTAACCAAGCAGAATGCTTCTCCTTTTCCTGTTGCCCTAAGTCACACCATATTTTTTCTATTCAACCCCACCAGGAAAGACTTTAAATTTTTGTGGAGCAACAGTTTCTGACCAATAAATGCTCTATTGAAAACATCACTCAATAATGGTATATTTGTTCTTTTCCTTATATAATGGGAAACACTACCATGTTTCTAGACATGATATGGAGAACAAAAAATCCCACCCGATGTGTTTGTGTATACAGTGGTTTCCTCTCTCTGTGAAAGCTGTGTAAACAAGTAGACTGTATCTAATGGCATGATGTGAAAAGAAAATAAATCAAATCCTCAAGATTTTCATGGGTCAAGCAACAAACTGCCCAACCAAACTCAAGTCTCCCATTCACAAACAACAGAAGAGAGAGAGAAATTTTGTATTATTCTAGCAGCAGTCAAGAAATTTCCAGTTAAATTATACATCAGAGCGGTCTAAAAATTTTCCCAGTCACTGGAGAAAAACAGGCACTTCAAGCAAAATTCAACTGAACTGTTTTAGGTGACTTGCTTTGGACAATTCCACGTGTTCCCTATGTCTCTAAGTAGTTGCACTAAGTGAATTCAGCTTCACAGCAGTGAGTAACAGCCAGGATTTGAAAGGGACCTGAACAACTGCCACACTCAACATTTAACCACGTGTGCTAGTACATCCAGTACGCATACTATCATAGTCTAGCAGCATCTGAGTTAGCTTGAAATAAAAAAGAAATTCAGGGTTTCTAAAATCCATTGACAAAAAGCCACAAAAATCCCCTGCTTCTTAACATGCATTTCCCCCATTTATTCTCGCATGTTATCCCGACATCACCTGGTTTAAATCTCCAGTTCTTTCCTAAGTGTTTTTAGGCTGAACAGACACGATGACATACCTGTACGGGAACTTCTGTCCAGCAGATTTTCTTAAATACAATGATTGAAGAAAACATATTTAATATATTTTTACTTTTTTATATCTAATTATGTTATTCTAGTTCTTTTACATATTAACAGTATAGGAAAAATGCTTAATGCAATACTAAGATGTCAAATACTCCAGAAGCCTGTCCTAGGCAATAATACTAATATATTTCAAATGTATGCAGCGTCTTTCAATTAAATTCCATCTCTAGCTCACATTTCAGGAAGCTGATATGTATTTTTAAACTTAATTTTCCTATGTGACTGCTTGAAAATTTACACTGCAAACGAAGAATATAACTTCCTTCATACAGCAGGAAAAACCATTAAGCAAATAAAGCTCCAGAGTGTAGCTGTCAGATCCCAAATAATGGGCATAATGACATCTTTAAAACAGTCTGAATGAAGTTAACCAAATAAAATTCCTATGCAGATGGAGGCTAATGACTGAAATTGTTTGCCTTTTTGTGGGCAATTATCCCAGGCTGTATGCTGTTGGTGGACGAGATGGGAGCTCCTGCTTGAAATCAATGGAATGTTTCGACCCGCACACAAACAAGTGGAGTATATGTGCTTCCATGTCCAAGAGAAGAGGTGGCGTTGGGGTTGCGACATACAATGGGTTTTTATATGCTGTGGGAGGTCACGATGCACCTGCTTCCAACCACTGTTCTCGGCTTTCCGACTGTGTAGAAAGGTAAGGATTTTTTTTTTTACATTCCAGGAAGGAAATATAAAATAATTTATAGAAGCAAAGGAAATCACTTCACAACTGGAATGTTAGGTTTGGAAAACATGTTAAGCTTTTTAAAATAATATTTTGAGCAGAACAACTGATATCCAATACTCTTGTGATAACAAAACAATTAACCTGCAAAAGCAAATTCCTTCCAGCTCCCCCTTCTGTTTGAGCTGCCCAGGAGCCATGTAAAGACAAGTTAACAAGACACTTTTTTCAAGTACCAAAATACAGGTTTGGGCTACTTGTGTAAGATATTGTAGGAATTAAATGCTTTTCAATTGTCTCTTCCTCCAAGAAGTTGCCTGATATCGACCAAAGGTTAAAAATATAATAAATGTCACATACTCAAACAGACAGCAGTCACCACTCAGGTGTTTGCTGGTGGTGGAGACTGGTAGAAAGAGTCTTGTTTCTGTAAGAAGCTACATTGCTATAGGAAATCAGGCTAAAACCTAGGGTTTAAAATCAAACTACTTTAGCTTGAATCCAGACTTTAAAACTAAATAGCACATTAATACTTTGGTAGCACACAACTGTAAGCAGGGAAATATTGGCTTTATATCCATTTCTCAAAGTAATTACTTTTTTAAATGAAAATACTGTTTAGCTGGTTCTTATTTAATCCCATTTTTGTATTTGCCACTGATGAGCACAGCTCTTAAGCAAATGCAAATATTGGACATTTCTTTTTTTTAGAAGCAGAAGTGTTGTGTGCCAAATGTTGCTTTGCCGCTGTGGTGGCATGTGGCATAACGTAGGAGGACGACAGAACACTCGAGCCCTGGGTGAGAAGGGAACATGATGAGTGGGGACATCTCCTCTGGCTGTTTAATGGGCCGTGGGCATCCATTGACACTCTTGTGTCATTTGGGGACAAGAAAGGAAAGCTGAGCAAGTATTCAACTCCCTGGTGTGAATAACAATGGATAAGTTTTGTTCTTAGATGGTGTAAAGCTGGAACTACCCTGGAATTCACTTAAATTTATATTGGAAATTGACTGGCTATGTATTGGAATTAAAATCAACACCAGTGTAAAATATTGCCACATATTTTATGTTACAAACTTTTATCAAATATGTGAGATATTTAACTTCTTTTACAGTGAAATTTTCTGAAAATATTAGTTCTGACAAGGAAGAGGAAACAAGAATTTTTACGGAGAAAGAAAAAAATATATTGAAATTGACTTTGCTGAGTCATCTGATGGCCTTGCTATCATCCCCTCAGGCCTCATTTATGCTCAAAATGTATTGATTTTTTTTTAATCTGATAGAAGAGATTATAATCAAAAAGCAAAAATATGGGCATATTTTCGGAGAAAGAAAAAAATATATTGAAATTGACTTTGCCGAGTCATCTGACGGCCTTGCTATCATCCCCTCAGGCCTCATTTATGCTCAAAATGTATTGATTTTTTTAATCTGATAGAAATTGAGAGATTATAATCAAAAAGCAAAAATATGAGCATATTTTCATGTTCTTGAAGATGGCACCAGTATCTATAATATTTAATTGTGTTATTCATAATTCTTTATACTAGTTCATGGTGTAAGATGATCTACAATACAGATATTTTCATGTTCTTGAAGATGGCACCAGTGTCTAAAATATTTAATTGTGTTATTCATAATTCTCTATACTAGTTCATGGTGTAAGATTATCTACAATACAGGAGAAAATAAGCAAATACCATTACTTTTAATTTGAAATTTGTTTTTAAAATGTATTTTTCTAATTTTGATCATAAACTACCCTAGGTATGATCCTAAAACGGATGCTTGGACAACAGTGGCCCCTTTGAGCGTACCTCGGGATGCTGTTGGAATTTGTCCTCTGGGGGACAGACTATACGCTGTTGGCGGCTATGATGGCCACACATACCTGGATACTGTGGAGTCCTACGATGCTCAAAATAATGAGTGGACAGAGGTAACAGGAAGAATTACCTAATAAATAATAGGAGGGGGGACAGCTTTGCAAAAAATTACACATTAGGATGCAGTGATACTGTAGTTGGGCTTGTATAAAAGGTTGGTTGCCTCTCCTGGAAATTTTTTCGGACTAAAAGGTGGGAGCAGGGTATGGGGAAGTGAACCAAGTTGCACAAATAAGTGCTTTAATTTGCTGTTGTTGGCGCTGGCATGCCTTTGCCAGCAATGCCCTCTGCTGGAGGCACTCTCAAATTTTTATATTTATAACCATCATCATTGAGACCAAGAGGAAATATTTAAAACTGACAAGATCCTTTTGTGGCTCCACAGTCCACAGTTTTGGCACATAGGATATGAAGGTCTTTTACAAAAGTTAAGAGCAACACCACCAGCCTGCACTCCTGTAGCTCTCACCAGCTGCTAAAGCCTTCTCACCAAAAGCCAAACCTGTGTTTTCAGCACCCTAGTTAAATCTAATTTTCTTTAGCAGCACATTAGTTTGAACAAACAATTTGCTTTCCTTTTAATTGCAAGTAATTTCTTCTAGTCCTATCCGTAAGAGTCTACTAAACATGTTTCCTCCTTCTTAACTTTTTTTTTTTTTTCCTTTTTTAGGAAGTTCCTGTCAATATTGGAAGGGCTGGGGCATGTGTTGTTGTTGTGAAGTTGCCCTGATGGCTATAAAGATTGTGAAACTAAACTGGGTGGAGTTTCACGAAGGCTGAGTCAGGAAGACAAGAAAACTTCCCAGAAAGCAATACAGACTATACACATCTTAGCAGCCCTCCGTTACACAGAATACTTATCTCTGAGCCATTACCCTATTAGAGCACAAAACTGTCTTTCTGCATCACAAAAATCAGATAATTTTGCATAGGTGAATTATTTTATTATGCCTAATACATAAAAATTCAATAATATGTTTAAAAGGTTCAGGTTTGTTACAAAAGCGTATCTGTTATTTATAAAATGCAGTTATAAAGTGATAAATGGGTGTATGAGATTTCATAAACCTTTTTCTTTCTTATGTTGGCAGTAATGCTAACATCTATAAAAAGAGCTTTTATGTTTTAAGCAAATGAAAATGAATAAGAGAGAAATACCTTCAACAGAGAACTGCACAGGAAGAAAAACTTTCCCATAAATATAATTGTCAACAGAATATTCTCTGCAACAGTAATGTCATTTCTATATTCAGAAATCAAATTACTAAATTAACTTTAAAATCAAATCAGAGAAGGATAGAATTTGGTTGCTAGTCAACCTCCAGCATTGCTAGTGCTGTGACAGAACACCCTTTTTTAGCAGATATTCAATTGAACAGTGCAAGTTAAGAGACAGAAGGGCTAAGGTATCTGCATTATTAAGTATGTGCCAACAGAACAAAATCTCTTTTGTCAAAACACAATGCTGATGTAATTTGCAATCATCTTCACAGTGCGTAGATCCCTGACACTTCAGTGCTGATCAGTGTGTCAGGTTATTCATGGATTTGTCTTTGCCCACTAACCATCTGTCAGGAAGTGTTTAATTCCACTATTCTTGGGATAGTCACCATGCATTCCATTTTAAAATAATCATATAATTACATTCCTTGAATATAACTTACAAAATGAATTTTGTATATCATATTGATATGACAATCTTTGACCTCAGCTGAAGATTACCAGCTTTCTCTCATGTACAGTAGAAATATGGTAAGAAAAATATCCGTCCACTGTGGAATGTTATATACCCTTTACATAAGCATGTTTATGTTTTATCTGAAATGAAGAGAACGCTAAGAGTCGAGAATAAACAGGAAAAGAATCTCCTGAAAACAGCACCTAATCTTCCACATGCACGATATTTTCTTTGTGTGCCAATTTCTAATGAAGGTTTTGATTTCTTTAATTTCATTTTTTGATAATTTCAAACACTGAAAGTGTATTTTAGAAAAAGAATGTATGTAAGATATTCTATGCTGTAAAGCACAATATTTGGACAGTATCTAGTGTTTATGTTATTGTTTGGTCAGTATCAGAACATTCAGGACAGAGATGAAAATTCTCTGAACTTGTAGACTAACTTTCCTGATAGAATATTGTGTTTTCAGGATTCAGCAATATGCTATTTTAAAAAAATGTATAGCATTAATCCTATTGAATGCTTCTAAAGATGAAATCTCATAAGCATATTTATAAAAGAAAAAAAATTTAACTTTAAAAACCAGTTATGTTTATATATATAGCATGCTACATTCAAATAAACTAATTCCTCTGCTAAGAAAATTTAGACTATATTTTAACAACAACTATATTTTAACAACTTTGTGGCTTCTATATTACAGCTTTTCAAGAACAGAAAACACATACTCCAAAAGAACAAAAGATCCTGTCTTAGAGTCTTTACTGCATCCGGTCCACATCAACTAAAATTTACCTTCATTCTAGTGGTTCTTTTTATATAAAGTTAATCTTTTTTCTTACTTTGAGTTAAAAATCGTTACCAATACTGTCATGTCAGGATGCCCTTTCCTCCCACACCCGAGCCCTTGGCAACCTGGGTTGAATGCCTGCAGAGGGCAGAACATCCAGTACATTTTAAGATGATTTCTTTTGGGGCCATTACATAAAGCTGCTCTACAAGAGAAACTTGTAGTGTATCAGCTTGGAACTGCTTTCATTTAGTTGTAAATTTCTAGATCAACCCACAAATCTTTTGCTAGCTTGGTGTGCCAGGAAACAAACTTTATTTTGTGACTATTTTCCTCTGGTATCTATTTTCGTGGAGGGGGAAAAAAAAAAAAGAAAAAAACCCCAACACACCAAAAACCCCTACCAACCCAAAACAACACAAAGAACCAACCAAGCAAATGGGGAACAAACCCCAAACCCAGCTAGTGGGTCACAAGTAAAGAATCCACAGCAGAGGAGGAAGGTGTTTTTATTTCCCACCAGATCAATAATCTGAAACAAACGCAAGGGGAATAAACACGAAGCTTGACAGTGAAGCTGCAGAGTCAGACATTTGTGAACAGGAGGTAGATGTCAATTTTCTTTCTCTCCCCTGTCCTATAGAGAACCTGTCTGACCACCTATCTGCAACATCTTTTTGCAGCAAATACTAATTTTAAAACACTAATTATAAAACCACTAACATTTTTTCCCTATTCTTTGCCATCCCTGCTTTGGTCATGGAACAGCCACATGCACTCTTTTCTTGTGTGGATCAGAGAGAGGAGGTCACAGTTGCTTATCATTCCGGCTCTAAATCATACTGCTCTTATGTCCTATAACAGCACATCACTGTTTCCAGTAACCACCATAACCCCATCGATTCTACTCTTGTTTGGAAAGCACTGATATTGAAAATCCATTTTTTAAAACTCTAAAATACAAATTATACAAACAATGTGCAACTAATGTCAAGGTATTTGCAAGAGGCACATCAGAGCAGACGCTGATAAACTGGCGTTAAAACTCTAAAATACAAATTATACAAACCAACTAATGTCAAGATATTTGCAAGAGGCGCATCAGAGCAGACGCTGATAAACTGGCAATACCAAGGAGCCTTTGCATGGAATTGAGGCTTGCTTGGGGTACGGCACACAGCCTCAAGGGAGAGAAAGCAGGCATGGCTCCTTTGCTAGTAGAGCAGCTTGCAAATTCTAAAGCCATACCTAAAAACCTAATCAAGTCTACAGTAAGGAAATCAACGAAGATTTGAGCATAGAAGAGGTCAGTTTTGAAGAACAGAAGCTGTGGATGAGCACTTTAACGCAAACATACAGGACCAGCCTTTGAGAGCCGCGTGGCTCGCAAACATCACAACCGCAGAGGTGACGCCTTTGTCCCCTGGGTCAGCTTGCAAATTTTGTTAAAGGCTTTATAAGCACATAAGATATGAGACACTTAGGAAAAACACCTAGATATAATGAACCTCCCTAAACATATCTTTAAATATATTGCCATTTCCCCAGTTTAATGAAGTCTCAAAAAGCGTTAGAAGAAAATTGCACTTTCTCAAAAGAAATCATGTCATGAGGTTCACTTATTTAAAAAACAGCGTAAGAAAGAAAAATTGTCACATTATTTTAGTTTGCAGCATGCAGCTACATTTGTCAATTTGATAAATTCAGCACCTCTTCCTACCCTGAGCCACAGCCACTGAGGCAGAGTATGCAAATATTTGCATACATGTGTGTAATGTGATGAGATAGTCTCCTAATTTCTATGGCAACTCCACATCGTGGCAACTCGTACACTTTCCAAATTTTGTGTGCACAGGCTGGCAACCTTGTTTGGAGCTGTTATGAAAGTTCATTTCACCTTGTAAAGAACAGACTCACATTCTGAATTAATTTCCAAATAATCTATTTTAGGATGAAACAATGGCAAGAATTATCATGAGATTAAAATCTTAAATGCTAGAAAACATCAAAACCAAATTTGAGCAGAGACTTGAGTTTAAGCAATAAAATGGCACAACTGAATTTTCTAGAGAAAGCAGTTCCTCAGTGTTTTTAGTACTAAAGATGGCTTTAGTTTTTTTTCTTCCACATTATTTGTACAGCAGTGAAAAATCATGTGAAAGGAAACCAGCGATTCACAAAAGGAAACTGGACACCTAACAGGAAGATGGAAGAGCAGCAAACTGGAGAGAATTTGGAGATGTTTGGACATTATTAGGTGAGAGGAAGTGCTAGAGAGATTCTCTGATGAGGTGTCATCCCTTCCCATTTCCTGTTTCTCCAAACATGAGTAGGTGCAATAGTTACGTGGCATCTTTGCTTCTTAGGTTCCCTGACAGCTGCGTGCACGGCTGTCTTGCTTGCCAGGTCCGGGAGGGAGCCATCCTCTCTCATCTCTGACCTTCTACTGCTCCGAGCTGTTTACCATGACTCTCGCTGGCAGAGTAATTATTATTTGTACTATTTCTTTTTTGCCTAAATCACTGTGTTTTCTTTCTTTTTAAGCCCTGGCCCTTAAACCACCCTTTTCCTCTTTGGACTGGGTGATAATCTCTACCTGAGCTGGACCAGCAATGATATTTTGTATAATGTAACGTATGGGAAGCAGGGACACCACTGACCCCATGACATCAATTCTGGGAAAGGATGAAGGTTCAGCTTAACCGCTATGGTGTCTCTGTCTACCAGCAGGAGATATTTAGGCAAAGAGCATGAGAACAAACTCACCCAGAAAAATCCGCTCCATTACTTTTGCAATGTTACTTTCAGTTATGTGACCACATTACTGGAACATTCATCTTCATAGTACATCTACAAGGCAGGAAAGCAGTGCTACAGCTATTTACTGCTGACACAGAATTAATTCCTGAAGAGATGAACTAAACTTCTGTAACAGTCACCACCGACATAGAATTTCCAAGAGGTTGTACGCCAAGAGTACCTACAGTTGATATTCGAGCGCATCTCTTATTGCCTACCTCCTCTTAGAAAGAAAGGGAGGAGTTTTATCAGAATAGAAATCCTTTCACTGCCACTTCCCCTCACAAAGATGAAGGCCTGCTTTTTTTCACAGTAAACCTATACTGTTTTTATCTTCAAGAATTCTGTTGAACTCACCTCTTGCCAAAGGAACCTGAAAACAAAATGCTACGTTCAGCCATTCCTACTTTTCAAGAAAGGTCTGCTACATAATTAAAGGTTACAAACTTTTTATTCCTCATCCCCACATCCCTGAGGACTTTTTTTCCTCCATCACAATTCTATCTACGTAAAAAAAA